CCCAAACTACTAATGCTGTTATTGAAGACAATAATAATTTTCTTTAGTGTATATTATATAACGTATAATGAAATGCATTTGAGCTACTTGGGAGTTGCCAGGTAGGTGGGAGTGTTAGCTTAACGTTATGCAACTCTTTGGAATTGTTGCACCGATACAGTATGCACGTCCATTAGTCGACATCAAGCGTTCACGTCTAAAATCGAGAGAGCTTTCAACGATTCAATAGCCGTTAATCCCCTTATGAGAATACGCGACGCGCGAGTGCAGCGAAATTAGCGAGTCACTTGTCAACGTGGTCCGCGACTAAAATACCACTCTACCCCAGCATGTGGACCAATGTCAGATACGTGATAAACTCCATCTGCATCTGCCTGTGCACCGTAGAGTTAGATTAGTTTCATATTATCACACTCAGCGGGTTTCCATCAGTCGCACAAGACGCCGGGATTAACATGAAATGGACCGATTTTCAAATCCTGTCTATAATCTGTCAATTTACCTTGCCAATTATAACATTACGAGTAGTTTACATTCTATACGTAAATGGGAAACGGTAACGCCAAAGCCATGTCAGTCTCAGATTCCATTGGACATAGTTCTGATAAAGGTCTGTTGCATACGAGTGCGGAGACGCTGCTGCTTCTAAAAAAATGTGAGTGAGTGAGTAAAGTTTCACGCAGGTTTTAGCAATACTCCAGCAATATCGCGACGGGGGACACCAGAAATGGGTTTCACATATTGTACCCATGTGGGGAATCGAACCACGGCCTCCAGCTTAACCATTAGGCTACACCACCGCTACCTATTTTGCAACATACGAAACAACGAAGAAATACATTTTTGTAACAAGGTGGAGATACAATATTGATTCAAACTTTTGGGATAGAAACTTCTTATATTTCGTGAGTGCGACGTCTCAATACAGATTCTTGTACAGGTATTGTATCACTCTTGCATCAATATCTTGGCCAGATGACAGGACAATAACTATCAATATTCACCATACACCCTACAAATAAAGACTATCCGTTCAATGCATCGTGATACTGGACAACACGTTATTCAAATCGACTCACTGTAGCAGCACTTGTGTCTGCTACATTAAACGACGACATGAACCTGCACATCAACGCAACATCAACGACAACAGCTGTGTGGTGGACAAATTGCGGAGCGACTAGTGAATCATTCGGTAGAGGTAAGGGATGGCGTAGGGAAGCAAAACCAGATGATTTGTTCACTAAAAATTATGCGTTTAACATTTTGGGGTAAAATGACTTTGCATCAATGTCATTTTTGTGACAAAATCGTGTCGTGTTTTTCTAAGTATTTACTGACCCGTGAAGATCTGGGTTGGAACTGGTCTTCATCAACCCATGTTTGTCATAAGAGGCGACTAACGGGATCGGGTGGTCAGGCTCGCTGACTTTGTTGACAAATGACATCGTATTCCCATTGCAAAGATCAATGCTCATGCTGTTGATCACTGGATTGTTTGGTCCAAACTCGATTATTTATAGACCACCGCCATATAGCTCGCATAAAGCTTGATTGCGGCGTAAAATAACAAACAAACAATCAATTAATTTCTGGGACAAGATGTTTTTTTCGATAAGGAAGTTCGTGGAAGTTCCACTCCACCCACTCCGGTGGTCTTTTACAACTTCAACTCAAAGTTTGCACTTTAGCAAGCGTATGGTGTGACATCAATAAATAATCAATACTCATACAATACGCCAACGCCCGAAGATAATCAGTCTCTATTATCTGCATAAACAGATTCTATTGGACGTAAAAGGCAGAATAGCGATTGAAATTATATGAATGGGTCGCTGAAAATCATTGATGGTACCAGGTGCATCAGACATAGCAAGTTTCCAACGTCAATGTTTTACAGTCAGCCTTTTCCATACATTCCAACCCGTGAAGATCCGGGCTAAAATTGATCTTCAGTAACCCATCCTTGTCGCAAGAGGCGACTAACGGAATCAGGTGGTCACGGTGACTTGGTTGACTGACTGACTGACTGAGTTTGGTTCTACGCCGCTTTTAGCAATATTCCAGCAATATCACGACGGGGGACACCAGAAATGGGCTTAACACATTGTACCCATGTGGGGATTCGAACCCGGGTCTTCGGCGTGACGAGCCAACGCTTTAACCACTAGACTACCCCACCGCCCCAAACTTGGTTGACACATGTCATCGTATCCCAATTGCGTAGGTCGATGCTCATGCTGTTGATCACCGAATTGTCTGGTCCAGACTCGATTATTTACAGACCGCCGCCATATAGCTGGAATATTGCTGAGTGCGGCGTAAAACTAAACTCACTCACTCACACATATATTCTATCGATATAGTTTATAATAGTTAGAATGTAGTTTTGAAGCAGAACCATGCATATGACATTCTCCTCTATGTGTAATTCGCTACTATATTCTATTTAGGTCATAACTGTTGTCGTGGGTATGGTCACTGCGTGATGTAATAAAATGCAGACTAAAATACATCATCTGTCATGCGTTGAATGATTGTGTCAGGTGCTATATATAGTTGTTACCATATGGCACAACTATTCAGAGTAGGTTTATACATAAATGATTTCAATGGTGTATTTTGTTGCTTTTGTGAGCATCGACGAGACGAGGTATGCGATCAGCTGAAATACATGTTTCACAGGGCAACATGACCTTGATCGTCTCTTCTTATGACAACGATAGTTGTACTTAACTGGTGTGGTGATACTTGTGTAATGCCTGAGTGAGTGAGTCAGTGTGTGAGTGAGTGACTTAGTGAGGTTTTACCCCAACTGGAGCAATATTCCAGCAATATCAGGATGGGGGACAGTCAATTCAACAGAGAGGATTCTACAATGGCTTATAGTATGGTTATACTCTGGCAGAGTCATGACATATACAGTCATGAAAAAGTCCCACTGGACGAAGCTGCATTATTGTTAACGTAGACAAATACAATGTGACATTAACTGAGCACTTATTTCGTCAGCTAACATGGCACCAGAGGCATCTTATGATTTATTTACATATACTCACTCACTCACTCACTCATTTACATATACATATGACAGAATACATATGATAGAGTTGCTTACAACCAAAAGTAAATTGTTTATATACATATGCCATAGTTAGGATAACATAAATATGTCAGAATGATTTATTACCAAACCATCATGGTTTATACACATCTGCCAGAATGGTTTCTTATCAAACCAGCATGGTTTATATACACATGCTAGTGCAATGTACTCACATATGCTGTAATAGTTTATATACAATCCGTAAAGGTTTATATACATTTGTACATTTGGTAGAATGATGTATTTTACGTATGCTATAATGGTTTATATACCTGTGCTAGAATGGTTTATGACCAAACCAGAATGGTTTATATACATATGCCAGAATGGTTTATGTCCAAACTAGAATGGTTTATTTACATATGCCAGAATGGTTTATAACCAAACCAGAATGATTTATATACATATTCTGGAATAGTTCTATAACCAAACCAGAATGGTTTATATACATATGCCAGAATGGTTTATGTCCAAACTAGAATGGTTTATATACATATGCCAGAATGGTTTATAACCAAACCAGAATGATTTATATACTATTCAGGAATAGTTCTATAACTAAACCAGAATGGATTATATACATATGCTAGAATGGTTTTTGACCAAACTAGAATGGTTTATATACATATGTTAGTACCGTGCACTTGTATATTCTGAAATAGTTTATATAAAACCGTAAAATATACTATACATTTTACATGCGGTAGAATGATGTGTTTTCCTTGTGCCGGAATGTTATATACACACATGCTAATTGTTTTGTCATTGTACAGTAAATGCATGTGGTTAAGGCGTTTGCCAGGTTCGATTCCATGTGGGTGCAATATGTATAGCCAATCAGCCATCAATGATATGGTTACAATTGTGATAAAAGCCACTTAAAAAAACACCCTTCCAACTCAGCCTCAGGGACAATAACCGACAGGAGATTCATAGAAGGTGAATCACATTGTTAGCAGGCCTGTCAGCTTACGTTTAATACTGCAGTACATTTAGTTAGCCAGTGTACTAATCGCCTACATTGCTATTGTAGATAGTACTTTCATATGGTGGGCACGGTATTCAAATTGCCCGTATTTAGGTTAACGGATGGGCCACTAGCCTCGGGAATAATTTCATATGGATGAACCAGAGTGTCCGTAATCCATTAAATATTCCCACGCGCTACATAAAACTACAAACCGATCATTCATTGACAACTTGGAGCCGCAGGGGAAAGATTTCTGACAAGCATACATAAACGATGACCATGTGTGTAATTTTGGACAAGAATAGACTTCAACAACGTCATAGATAAACATTGAAACATTTGATATATTGAAGAAGAACAGTTTTATGAACAGACAACTTCATTGCAATAGATGTGACGTTTCGGTGTAGATGACAACACCGTTATACACAACATTATGCACAAGGAGAATATATACATGAAGGATATTCTACACCGAAAGATATTCTGCATCTATAAAATTGGGTTTTTTCTTCATCATCCCATCTTCATCTTCTAAATGTCAATTGAAGATATTTGCTGTATTGTCAATTTGGAAGCAGTTTGATACATGGTGCAATTGCAAGTTTCGACACTGCCCAAGCATGTCATTTTGCACCGTTTTAGCAACAGTCAAGCCCTGACTGAGACACCAGATATGGAATCACTAATATGTAGGTAATCGAACCCAAATATCCGACGAAACTGGTGAACGCTTAAACCAGAAGGCTTCCTAGCGGAGCCTCACATGCTCTTAAAAGATACAGTGCTATTTTATGTATTTATTCATCCACACAACAATCAGGACACTATAACGCCGCCCTGGAACAGATTAAATTTAGCGTAGTAACTTTGTATTGGTTGTTTTCTGTAAAATAGATAAGAAAGTGTATAAATGTCGCTTACCTAATGTCCGCAGTTGTACTCTTGGAAGGAAATCCTGCACACACCTCCTGCAATCAAATTGGAAGAATTAGTGCTGCTGTTGACATGCATCGCACGTGATTACGTAATGACATTGACACGGCAACGCTAGACTTATGATTACTTGGAGTGGTATGTAAATTCGTGGTTATATGTACATGTCATCGATCGTGGCGCTAATGACCCTGGGCACCCTACCTGCTGGGGAGGTGGACGCGGTGACGGGCTAGTCACTAGAAGTCTGGATCAATGTTCAACAGCTCTCCTCTCACGAACAATATAGATTACCATTGTACGTTTCAGCTGGTTTGATTGACAGTTTGTGCACAGGTAGAAACAGACGGAAAAGACCAACTGCAGTTTTCGTCAATATCAACAAAGCACCCAGTTGAAGCGGACATGATGCAGGTTGAATGCTTGATTCTTGTACGATAATATCATGCTTGCGTATTATGAGAAAACTGATTTTTTTAACTCTAGTGAAGAATTAGTGTTTATCGTGGTCTAATGACGAGTAGCTGTCATTTATTACCTACTCTCTGACTCATGTTACAACTTTGGTTATATTTATTGATACGAGCTTGAGTGTTACAGTAGAGGAGTGGTGCCCAAATCCTGGTATTGCGTACTGTTATTTAATAACGTTTATTAGAAGGATAATTAAACGTCGATAAAGTGATATTGACGACGTGTGTTTCCTCACGGGAACATACGGCATACAACATGCTGATGGATTACACCGGTTGAACGGGAATAAACGGGGCAAGAACGGTACGAGCTGGAAAACGGTGCTATAATATGCTCCAACCATTGCAATGAAAATGAGTAAGCTCGGTGAGCATAATGTGTTAGCTCTTAATTCAACATCGTATAATTAATTCAATCACATGTGCTTATGATAAAGTCATTCAAGTGAGTTCAATTAGGAATCAGTTGTTGCCAAGGCGACAAGACGTAAAAAAGATGTAACGGTAATTTTCATCACGTGACTCAATAGCTTGGCTGGGTACAAGTTATAGGATTTTGATACCAACGACACACATTTTGCATGTGGTTTCACAGATTAATGATTAAAACTTTGCAAGTCACTAAATGGGTATGGGTTGGCGTCGTCTGTAAGCTGTTAATTAAGAAGCGCATAAAAACACAAAAACATGATACATTGGCGCTGTTTCTGTGAGCAAACTTACTCAATTTTTTTTTTTTAAATTAAATAATTTTGTTTGTATTTACGGTTAGACTTAACAATATAGCGACACACATTCTTGCACACACAGATATCCGCACCAGGATGACACATGTCATCGTATCCCAATTGCTCAGATCGATGCTCATGCTTTTGATCACTGGATTTTCTGGTCCAGACTCGAAAATTTACAGACCGCCGCCTTATAGCTGGAATATTGCTCAGTGTGGCCTAAAACTAAACTAAACTACTCACTCACTCACTCTCTCTCTCCACCCTCCGCCCACCCCATCCCTTGAGGTCTGTCCCCCTAAGAAATAATGTTTATCAAAACTGTCTTCAGACAAACACATATATCATGTCTTACTCGAAATACGGTTAACTCGATTCATTGTGGTCTAAAAAATCAGATTTCTGTACATTTATATATGTATAAAATGACTGACCGGGGACGATTAAAGCGTTATTTCGCGGGTTTCATTCCCACATGTGTACAATATGTGAAGCCTATTTTTGGTGTCCCCCGCCGTGAAATTGCTGTAACGTTTCAAAAAGCGCCGTAAAGCTAAACTCACTCATCCACGTGGCCTAGATGCAGCATATGTGTCGATCACTACCCCAGCCGCAGCAGCTAAAGGATGCAGTCATACTGCTTGCCTTGATGCCATACTTCTTCAACTCACTACTCTATCCGGTCATCGATCCTTTCCTATCCTCAAAGACCAAAAACGAATTCCTCAAAGGGAAAAAAACCAGCCATAACTCATCATAAATACTCTGGAATTCCTGTCTCTGTAATCTCACTTTCATGACAGATGAAACGTACATCTCACAAATATGAAACAGTTTAGACATTCACAATACAATTACGGGAAGAATACTATCCCAAGTTTGAATCTTTCTGACAGCTTACACAACAATTTAACACACGGATTCACAATATCTATTGAAATCAAGTTATCATTGATCACAGGTTTCCGACAACCAAGCAGCCATTTAAGGAGTAATTTTGCAGAGTATGGGCTATTTAAATAGCCATTTGCAGGAGAACGCAACTCAGCGTTGCTAAAGCCCTCTCTTCGGTAACCAATTATTTGCAAGATATTTTACCTCAGGTTTGTTTAATTCTGAATGAGAAAATTATGATAATCAAATGGAGTGATTAATAAGATCAATACGGAGGTATTTTCAGGTTATTTACACATGCAAATTTTAGGCATGCTTGAATAGGTGCTGGCTTGACCCACTGGGACCTGCTTGCGAACTCTTTCGCAATTACGGCCTCAATTTTAACCAGCGACAATCTAACGGGTTTTCTGTATGGAAAAGTCATTATGCGTCAGTTGTGATTTAAATAACAGTGATTGACCCAGGCAAGCAGCCATGGTTTATAATTCCACAACACCTAAATCGAGACACAGGAAATGGTTTGCTGAGAACCCTAAAATAGACAAGTGATTAATCATCCAAACTAAACTCCTAGGGGCGGTGGGGTAGCCTGGTGGTTAAAGCGTTCGCTCGTCACGCCGAAGGCCCGGGTTCGATTCCCTACATGGGTGAAGTGTGTGAAGCCCATTTCTGGTGTCCCCCGCCGTGATATTGCTGGAATATTGCTAAAAGCGGCGTAAAACTAAACTCACTCACTCACTGAACTCCTAAAGTGAGTGAGTGAATTGAGGTTTACGCCATTTTGAACAATATTCCAGCTATACCATCCTGGTTGTTCTTGATGTGCGATAAACCCCGGACTAATGTAAGTCTCAGACGTTTACTAACTAAATGAAATCCACCAGCACGGGAATAAATTCTTAAAAACATAATTCTGTCGATCCTGGATTCGAACTCGTAATATCCTCCCACACATTTGATACCAGTTTGGAAACTAATCCCAATGTCAACAAGACACGTAATATGGAGAGTCAGTACAATGAGCATATGTATTAGGAAGAATCCGCAGATCCTTGGTTCGAATCCCTGGTTATCCTTGATGTGGGTGCACAATCGACTAATCAAAGTGTTAGATGACTCTGATATTCATCATTTCGAGCGTTTATGACCTCCAGAAACAAGCTTCACCGTTGTAATATAATTAAACTACGGTAAAAAGGACGTTGATTTCGTACCCTTTCAAGAGATTACATTGCATCATGTAACAACTGACAGTGCATATTCTTAATCTATTTTAAATGATTGTAAGGGAAACGGATAAAAATGCTTTGAGTGTTCTGTCAAACTAGGCGCTATGTGCTATCCCAAAACAAGACTTCTCCCGGCGTTAATTCCCAACGCTAAGATCAAATCTGATTTGTTCGCAATATTCACGAGTCAGTTTTTTATACCGCAATTCCACTAATGCCACTATCATGTTCGTAATATGATACATATGTTCATTCTCGATTTAATCTAATAAAATATCAGTTTTATATTTCATGAAATATAGTCCTGATGTTTGTGTGTTCGCTTCAGCTGTGTGGCAATCTGACGGTTTTGTCTATGTGTGTGTGTGTGTGTGTGTGTGTGTTTGTTTGTGTGTTTGTTTGTGTGTGTGTTTGTTTATTGTTTAACGCTGCACTCTCGAAATATTCCAGCTATATGGCCGCAGTCTGAAAATAGTCGAGTCTGCATCAGACAATCAATGACTTACATCATGATCATCGGTCTACGCAATTGGGATACGATGACATGTGTCAACCAAGTCAGCGAGCCTGACCACCCGATCCCGTTAGTTGCCTCTTACGACAATCATGGGTTACTGAAGATCAATTCTAACCTGGATCTTCACGGGAACACAACATCATCGATCTACGTAAAAAGTGATAGGGTCTGGACTAGACAAACCTGTGACTGAGTTTATCCTCAGGGTCCAACAACGCATGGGTACTATGACACGTTGTGCAAGACTACCTGTTCAATTAAGTCATTACGTACGATTACTACAATATGCAAGGGGCCTGATCATTTGTTACATGCTCGCCTTGTCGTTTAGTTACGTGTAATGTATGTCAATATATACAGCACCAACATCATTAACAAGGCTTTTCACATACATATGCGTGAGTTACGTGCAGATCAATCCAACGACGTGACAGACGCTGACGTTGTTTGACGCTGATGCGAACCATGCGCCATCAGACGCCCACATTGACAATAAGGCACGTACAAAAGAAAGCTACATATTTAGTGTCACTATGAATGGTGAAAGAAAGAGAGGAACCCCACAATATAATATTTGAAAGGCAAATTAAGTTTGTTTCCATCACGTCCCATGCCTTTGTTGGCGATATTATCGTCCGAGGCGTATGGTCCTAAGTGATCTTTTATTTTCGGCTCGTCTATTCTTTTTCGAGTGAGAATTGATGCTGGCAAATTTTATCGTCCCGAGTTACCATAAAGCACACATTCTCCGCTTCGAACAAGCTTTATCATTTACATCGCGAGGAAAAGGCCTTAGGAGTTGCTGAAACTGACAATAAATAATATAGAAAACTTACACAGTGGAGTGATGAAGAAACCCACTCAGCCCTGACGCGCCCAACTATACTGTATTCAGTTTTCCAAGACGTTAAATGTCCTTTTTCTCTTCCGCTGCAACATTAATTTGCCCTACTGTGCGATTCGCTAATTATGCCATTTCCAGGACATTTGTTTGCGTCATGACCGAGCAGTGACCTCCAGACGGCGATGATTAGAGTCCTATGGTGATACAATACATTGCTATTTTGAGATTTGAGATTATGATTGTGTTGGCCAGCTAGGCGTAAACATTTTTTACATTTTTTTTGTAAATTATGATTTTAATTCACACTTATGACTGTGATAATGACGTGTCTTGATGAGAATAGG